AAACCAGAGAGGGAGACAAACCATAAGAGACTCTTAATCACAGGAAACAAACTGAGGGCTGCTGGAGGAGAGCAGGGTAGAGGAATGGGGTAACTGGGTGATGGGCATTAAGGAGGGCACGTGATGTAATGAGCACTGGGTGTTACATGCAACTATGAATCACTGACTTCTACCCCCAAAACTAATAATATATGTTAATTAATTGAAAAAACAAAAACAACATGGAAGTATCCACTAGCAACGTCCAGAACATAAGTGCAAGCCCAAGGAAAAGATGGTAAGAGAGTTAATGACGTGTACATGTTCAGTAGTTCACAGGGAGCTTTTACGGACTGCCATATTTGAGCCACACAAAGATCCTTTGAGGGAGGCAGCACAGGTTCTCCTATTTTACAAATGAAAAGGCTAGAGTTCACTTGCTCCATAAGCTGGCAGAAATTCAAATTATAGACTGTTATAACATTAGGACGTCAGATGTAATCCCCACAGCAACCACTAAGAAAACAGCTACAGAATATACACAGAAATGAGAAGGGAACAGAAACGTTTCAGTACACAAAGCAAACACAAAAGGCAGTAATGCAGAAAAATGAGGGATAGAAACAGCTCTACAGCATACAGAAAACATATGCCCAAATGACAAAGGTCTCTCCTCCCCAGTAGTTACTTCCAATGGAGACGGTGAGACTCTCCAGTCACAAGGCAGAGATCGGCAGGATGGGTGAGGAAAACATGGTCCCACTCTATGCTGTCTGTAAGACTCACTTTAGGGAAGACACAACGAGGTTGAAAGCAAAAGGCTGGAAAAAGACACCCCATGCGAACCGTAATCAACTGTGCAGCGGTGGTTGTGCAATGATATTGGGCAAAATAGACCTTAAATCAAAAAAGTTTATAAGGGACCAAGAAAGTCCTTATATATTCATAACAGGTCAATACAACAAGAAGACAGACCAAGTACAGACATTTAAGTATATAGTAACAGGCCAGCGGAATATAAGAAGAAAACGCTGACAGAATTGAAAGGAGAAACAGTTTTACAGTAACAGGTGGAAACTTCAAGACTCCGTTCTTTTTTTTTTTTTTT